AAAAAAAAAACCTTGAATAACTATATGGTTCATAAAGTAATTTCTGCTGCAAAAGGGATGCATCTATGGCTTATAGAACTTCTCAAATTAAAATGCCTCAACAGGCTTCAAGGGTCCTTTTACCACTGGAGCCAAAGCTAACAATCTCTTATTGTATATTCGTTTTTGAGGAAAAGAGAAAGACTTGAAAGGAACAGCAAATATCATTCATTACCTTTGACTTTTTTCCAGCACAAGCAAGGTGAAATATGGTATTACCGCCTGCATCCACGGCATTGAAAAGCTCATTGCCAATTTGGTATTGATTGGCAAGCTGAATCAACAACTCTAGTGCCTGGTACCGATTGTGTTTCACGGCAAGGTGCAGAACAGTCTCCCTGCTCGAGGTAAGCTCATTTGCTGATACAGTTGTAAAAAGCTGTGACAAGATTTCCCTCCTTCCTCTAATGGCAGCCGTGTGAAGGGGAATATTTCCGTCCTCGTCTTTTATAAGAGTAAGATCAGGTCGAAGAACAAGCATTCCCTTCACAATCTCCAGGTGCCCTTTTGCTGAGGCCAAATGGATGGGACTAAGACCTTGCTGGTTAAGTTCGTCTGCTAATCCAGGATAATTTTGCATCACTTTCATGGCAAACTGAGTATGACCAAGAAGTGCAGCAACGTGCAATGGTGTGTTTGACGTAGTGACTGTTACAGCATGGAGGATTAGAGGATCTTCTACAATTAATTCTTGCAAGGTATTCACATCTCCTCTGAAAGCTGAATCAAACAATCTAGCATCCATTGAAATGAATCTAGGGTCACATTCCACTACTCGTATTTTTATAGGATAAGGAAGGTAAATGAAAAGCTAGAGAACCACTTTATTTTCTGAGAAATTCCACAAGCGCCAGAGCTGTTTCTGTACACTTCTGAAACTTCACAATCCTTTCTTTTCGTACGAAAAGGAAAGCCAAAGGCAAGAAGATTGACTTATAAATTGACTTGTGAAATTACACGGTAAGTTCATGCACTTTTGGGTTGATTAAAATAATTATACCACTTTTGCCTCTAAACTTTTTAAACGAGAATGTTTTCAAGCAACTCCGCTGTCAGTGAAGCGATTCCATTATGTAATTAAAGTCTTTTGGCATGGGCAACTAATTATGTGTGAAACGACTTGGTAAAGTTCCAAAGACTAAGAAACTCTAAATGTTTACTGTTTGGACTCCATCAGTGGGAGACAAAGAAAAAGCAACTTTGGTTTTTTGACGAAGCAGTGACAAGATAAAAGCAGAAAGCGGAGGACGTTTGATGTTTCCTTCATCGCATGATGATTTGAGCACTGTACAAATGAAATTTTAATGTTATTTCAAGGAACCAGCTTGTTGGAAGAAGGATGGTTGTGGTATAAGATTAAAAACAATAATCTAAAGTCATAAATCTTAAGACCACGAAGAAAATGAGAGGAAAATATATTTTTATTCAGTATTTTTCTTTAAAATCTATTAGTTATTTTCTCTATCTTTTGTGTTTTTTAATAATATTAAATTATAAACCTTTTTATTGGTGTAAAATCCTAAATAATCAAGAAATTAAACTAATATAAGAAAATCTTAATCTGAATAGAAATTGTATTCTATCAACTGAACCAGTTGATTGATTTATTTAATCTAGCCAGTCGATTAGTTCTTTTATTCTTCAGAAAAATCAAAAATCAAGTTTAATTTTCAACACCCCACTTAAACTTGATTTCTTCATTACGCTTTGCATATCTCTTAACATATCTCTTATTTTGATCAAAACATAATTTTTTAATTGCTTTGTGAAGATATCCACGACTTAGTTTTATATCTTCACATGCTTGATTTCAACTTTCTTTTTTATAATACAGTCTTTTAGATGATGAAATCTTGTGTTAATATATTTATTTCTATCATGAAAAACAAGATTTTTAGTTAATTAATAACTAATGAGTTGTTCACTCTGTAGGCTTCTTTTGTGGCGTTTACAATTCTTTAAATAATTTTCTTAGCCATATGTAATGATAAACATATTATTTAGTAACTACATATTCAACTTTACATTTGAAAAAATGACTATAGATTATTTTTTTGAACTCCATATGAGTGTCATATCTTTCATATGAAAAAAAAAACCTATGATGCTTTTTCTGGCATCCATATCTTCAACCCAATCATTATCATTGTAACTCATAAGTTCAAAATTATTAGAATAACTATATAACAAATCAAAATCAATAATAAATTTGATATATTGAAGAATTTGCTTCAAGTCTTTGAAGTATGTCATAGTTGGTGTCTTCATAAATCTTCTCACAGTTCCTACTCCAAAAATAATATTTGGACGAGTGCATGTTTGGATGAGTGCATGTCAAATATCTCAAACTCCCAACTAAGCTCTTGAATGTTATAAATTTTATTTTTTTTCTCCTTCATTATTCTTTGATATCTTTACTCTATACTAAACAAGAGTATTTACTCTAGCACAATCCTTCATTTTAAACTTCTTGAGAACTTCCCTTGCAAACTTTTCTTAATTCATAAAGATTAAATATCCTCCTCAATCCCTAAGTAGTAGGACATGAGACCAATATATGTCATTTTAAACTCCTTAATCATTGTTTGCTTGAAGTCTCCAAACATCTTTGGATTATTTTTTATAAAGATTAAGTCATCTATATATAAATATACAATAAGAGTCTCACCACTCTATTTGATCTTTATATCAATAATATATTTATGTGGGCATTTAACAAATCTATCCTTTCATAAATATCCATCAATGTGACTATTCTAAGCTCTTGGAGCTTGCTTTAATCTATATAAGACTTTGTCCAACTTTAATACATTGGTTTCATATCCTCTCACTTCATATCTCATATATTGCTCATTGTAAAACTCGTGTTCAAGAAAGGCTAATTTGATATCGATTTAATAGATTCTCTATCTATATTGGGTAACAATAACAATGATTAATGAAATGGTGTCTAATCTAGTAACAGGAGCAAAAATCTCATCACAGTCAATCTCATACTTTTAACTATAATCATTTATCATTAACCTTGTCTTATATCACTCCATCTCTCCTTTAGCATTCTTCTTTTCTTTGTAGATCCATTTGAAAATTATTGGCTTCTTTCCATTTGGTTTAGGAATCAATTTTTATATGTCATTCATTTCCATTGATGCAATCTCCTCATCAATAGAAAGTCTTTATTTTGCATCATTTATATTTTTCTCAAACATTATAGGATCATTTATAGCAAGGTGATAATATAATGTTAAATTATAAACAATTTGATTGGTTACCTCATATAAGTCATCAAACCTTCTTATCTTTCTTGGTGGACTTAGTGGAGTGCCAAAGTTTACATGCTCAAGTCTTATATGCCAAAGTCAAGTCTTATCCTTTACGTATGTATTTAAGCATATTTATCTGTATGCTTAGCAAGAACATTCTATTCTTTTATCATGACTATCTTTACAATCATAGCTTCTTTAATGTTATGTAATGTCAAAGTTCGATCTTTCAATTTAATCCGATACCCCTTTTCTAATAATTGTTATAAGCTCAACATATTATTTTTTATCTTTGGTATATAATAGACATCACTAATAAATTAATGAATTTTAATTTTTTAATTTAATCAAAATCATATATTTTTCTTTAATAGAAAAATAAGACATTACCTCCAATTGCTTCATCAAGCTCTATAAATATATCTTTGCATCAACATATATGGTTATTAGCTCTATTGTCTAGATACCATATATTCTCTTTGTCTTGCATTCTCTTATCATGCATTATTAATATATGATTTCCTTCTCCTCTTCAATTATTAGATTTGCATTCTCCCCAACCCTTTTGGTTAGACTCTACCAATCCCTATAATAATGACCTATTTTTTGATAATTATAGTATTTAACTTTTGGTTTATCAAATATGAATTTTAGATTGCCATTGTCAATGTAATCAATCAATCGATTTGCTTAATGCGATCACCCAGTTGACCTATTAAGGCTGTCATAACCTTCTCTTTTAAATATTCTAGCCTTTTCTTTTGATTTATCCACATCCTTTACCCCTTTAGGAATACTTAAAATCATCTTGCTTTAAAAAAAAATACTTATGCACCTATATCTTCTTGAATCTCATTATTTTTTTTCTCATGTGCTTGTAATTTCCCTATGAGACCCTAAATTATAAGAAAATCTATATTTTATGACTTTTTTTATTGCAATTACAATGTAATGAAATTTCTTTTGCTGCAAGAGTAGAATTTTTTCTCCTACATGTGTCTCTTCCATCTTCTCTTTATATATTTTTATTTAATTGTATATGCCTAATACTCTTGCAAAGTATCCTGAAATATTCTCTTATTCAAGCATACATAATTTTTCAAAGTCGCTACATAGCTTTTATAGACATATTATTATCGTATTGTCATCTTTTTAGTTTGATTCTTGTATAACTTTTCATATTTATTTGGTAGTGGTTATGTTGACAAGTATATTAAAAGTAACATCATCTAGACATTGGTGAATGATTGTTAGTGCTTGTTGATCATTCATTTATGCTTTCTATATGGCCTTTTTTTGAGCTGGAGTCAACGTTGCTCTATTTATAGGCTCCTCAAAATATTTTTCAACCGTCTCTCATACATTTTAGTAATCTAACCAAGCTTTTACCCAAATACACTAAGTTTCGTAGTTATCCTTTATCATCCTAGGACAATGAAATGGAAAGTTAGGATTGGTTATGTTAAATAATCAAATACAAGCTCTGATTTCACTTGTTGAAAGAACAATAGGTGAGGCATAATATCAAAAATAGCAATACAAAGTTAAATACTCAAGAACAAGAACAAGATTAAGAGGAAGATATACTTATTAATTATTTATCTCTAAGCTCTCTTAGTTATTCTCTATCTTCCATGCTTATTCATTGTGATGAATTACAAAAAAAAAAGGTATAAAATCCTACACGATCAAGAAATTAAAATAATACAAGAAAATCCTAATCTAAATAGGAATGATAATCTGTCGACTAAATTCATCAATTGTTTCTAAACCAGTCAACCGATTCAACTTATTTTAGTCAGTCAATTAGTTTTCAACTGGTAGACTGGTTCCTCTGTTTCTGATAATCAAAATCATATTTACTTTTAACATGCTCCAGCCATGAAAGTAGATGAATGTTCCTCAACCTAGTCTCTTGATATTTTGTCCATAGATGTTCATAAAAAAAAAATCTTCAGATCTAGTTTATTTAGTTTAAAGTGCAAAAGGCAGAGACATTAAATAGGCAATAACAAGTTGGCCCAAAAAAGTTCACTTAGGTCTCTCTACTCTTTTTTTTTTAATTTCTTTTATATCCTTATTGTTTTTTGAAATTTTACTTTAAACCTAATTTTTTTTTTTTTGCAATATTTATGCTGAAAAAGAAGAAGTCGCAGAAAAATGATGAAGGATAGATAGTTTTTGGTTGACTATGATTATAGCCAACAAAAAGTTTTTTTATATTAGTAAGTTTTTTTTTTTTATAAGAGGAGTTCCATTAACATGTTATTTGACCCTTATTTTATTGAAAAATATAGATAAGATTTTGAAAAAATTTTAATTCAGATTGATTTTTATTTTTTAACTAAAATCTTTGAAATTTAAGACCATAGGTGGTTCTTATAGTCCTATAGACTATTAAAAAAAATTTAAGTGAAACAATGTTTGAAAATGTGTTTTTTTAGTTGGAAAAAATGATAACATGGATTTTCAGCTATTTGGTGGATAAAAGGTATACCGTACATCTTTTGAAATGATAATTTGAGGACAATAGATATATATATATATTCTGGGCACCAAACATTTCTAGTATATAAAAACTTTTGGATGATCCACTGTCATATATATTGTCAAAAACTTTAATATTATGGCATTGAGGGTCTTGGCCTAGCAATGGAAGGAGATGCTTCTTTCACTGTACCTGAATTCGAGTTCTCATTTGTATGTCTATTATCCGTGCGGTGTTTTATATACCTACTAGGTTTGTAGGATGTTCAGTGGACCATGGAATTAGTCATGGTGCGCACAAGTTAGCTTGAACACCCACGTAAATAAAAAAAACTTTAATATTATTTATTTAACATTTTTAATTTAGTAATTTCCAAAGAATCCAAATATATTTTACAGAAAACAAGTTGTGTTACATAAATTATTAATAAGAAAGAATTTATTATTATAAGAAATCCTCAACCTATATGAAAATCTCATTCATAAATTTATTAGCAAACACTATATTATGATTTATATGAAAAAGCTTTCACATAATTCTATTTATACTTAAGAAATAAAACGTTAATTTATTTTTTAAATACGGGGAAAAACAAAGGATATTGAAGGAAAGTCAAAGAAAAGAAGAATTAGAAAAGGAAAGCAAAAGGAGCGAGGAAAGGGAATTGGTTTGTTTATTTTTATGTTTTAAAAGTGTTTTAAAAAAAATTATTTTATTTTTTCACTTTAAATTAATATTTTTTTATATTTTTAAATTTTTTTATATATTAATATTAAAAATATTTTTTTAAAAAATATTTTTTTAATATATTTTTAAATAAAAAAATTATAATCACATTTCCAAACAATATCCACCCAAGCTATAGCTAGACTCGCCCAACAAAAACGAAGGAAAGAGATAAACATGCAATGATATCTTGAAGTCCATTTTTAATATTTGTTCATACAACAAATCATCCAAAATATTTTCAAAACCTATTTCTACAACAAAGCTCATGTCTTCTTTATTTTTTTTCAGCCAATTTTAAACTCCTAAAACCTCCAATTGGCTCGGAGAGCTATGCTTTATCAATTAAAGGTTAAAATAGCCTTATTCCATGTTAAAAATCGTTGCTCCATCTACTCTCTCTCTCATCCATTTCTCCGACCCAGAGGCTCTCTCGGACGATGGAACCAAGGATCTCTTCGAAAATTGAAAGCTTTATATTGGAGGACCAAAAGAGACTCCATCAAGTCAAAGGACCAAAACAAAAACCACATCAATCAGCATTTTAGAATCATAAATTATTCACTATTGGATGAACTACAAGCTATTGAATGAACTTGAATAGTCTGAATGTTTATTTAATAACTCAAAATATCTCTTGATCACATTAGCTTATCTTATAAATAATGGTGTAATGACAAAAAAATACCTAAAAATAATGATAAAAAACCTAAAAAATTAAATCGTTAGTTGTTGTGCTTGCTTGTAGAATAGTAATAATACAAGTTTAGCACTCATTGTTGGTTTCAATCATTGTGTCATTAGTAGAGAGAATGATGCTTTTGATCTCCACAAAAAAGTTGATATTTATTGTTCTTAGTTTTATCATCACATAGAATAAAAAAAGAAATATTCAATCAAGAAGGGAATCTGGGAGCATCCAATTGGAAACAAGGGAGATAAGATGCATAATAGAGAAACTTTGTTTTAAACCGAACGAGGCCGAGGGTTCTGATACATTCACAGTTTGGAAGAAAACCCACCAAGCCCAGTTATATATAAAAGATTGGCCGAGACCACGCCTACGTAGGCATGAAAGAGTTTGTTCTGGGCACAAGGAACACGTCAACGAAAGCTACATTATGTTCCGCCCATTAACCTTCATGTCATTCATGAGGAAAGAAACGAAGAAAAACACTACCACCAGGCCACAGCCGATTGAATAATCAACATTTGGATTTTACAAGTGGGCAAAAAAAAAAACCCAGTTATTGAGCAGTAACCTGAGCAACACCTGCAGAGAAAAAGATATTCAAAACTTAATGCTTGTACACGATTAGGGGAGGAACAAAAGCAAATGCATACTGAAACCTGGCTAACCCAAAGAAGTTAAAACTGTTTTTTATTTTATTTTTGCAATATTAAAGACCCAAGTGCTACAAAAATGGAGACTAATTCCCCTGCTTCCATGATATGGAACCCATCTAAAATCTATACCTCTGGCGCACAAGTGTGCGCCTAAAACATCTGATGTCACTTCCCCTCTACTTTTTCTTAAATCAAGATTTTCTCTTCAATAATTTCTTCCTTCTTCCCATTGTAATGCTTAAAATCTCTCAGAACATATATACCAAACCCCCCCTCTTTTGAATGTTGCATTGAATTGATGTAGTTGTTGATTGGTGTTTGGAAATTCATGATAAAAAACGCAATTAAATTAAGAAAAAAGAAGTGAATTTTCAATCAAATGTCTTTGTAAAACAAGGACATGAGAGATTTCTATTTTTATATGAAGAGATAAGGTGATGGAAAAGAGAGGAGAATTATTGAAGAAAGCAAAGAAGAATGAAAAAGAAAGGAGGAAAATCAGAGACATGGCTAGTGTTGGCAGGCTACAAACTGTATTGGACACGTATGAGGTGTGAAGGTAATTGTAAAGAGAATCAGAAAGGGTAAAGCCTAAGGGAATTAGGTAACTTCCTAAGGAGTAAGAAATTATTGCCCTTCCTAAAATATTTTTCCTCGCATAGGATGTTGAATTCAGGGTCCATGTATCTCCAAGTCACAAATCAGACAGCATATTAAGAAGCACAAATATTATCTAACAGGTTCGATGCTAAAATAACAGGAGAGAAGAAAATAGTTTTCCAATCATTTTACAGAATGCTGTGCACAGGTCAATTTTTTTTCCAGAAAATTTGGTTCTGTATACAGAGTCTCCAGGGAATAAAAAATTTCAGAGACTCAATATTACAAGCCCGGAAAGACTGCACTTAACATACAATTAATGAATACTGACCATTTGGCGCTGCCTCTTCTTCCTCCTTTTCTTCATCAATTGTTTTCCATACGATGTCTTTCAGTCCAGTTGAGAGGTTCTTGTAAAACTGTCATTTAAACCAGTTGAATTCAAAATCAGACCTCATAGCAATTAAGGATAAAAGGAGGAATTAACTAATAATACAATTGATGGAGCAACAATGCCAGTGGAGGCAGCTATGTTTTTTTATGGCCCGTTAAGTCCACCCTATAAGAGCAGACACGCAAATCAAGCCTTCAGCAGACTCCAAGAGATTACATGTCCCATAAAACATGCAAATGAATTTAGCTTGGCCTTACTCTTGAGCTACCAATGCTATAGTGAACATTTTAACTTTGCCTTGAGCGTGGAAATCATTTTTAATTCAACTTGGCCCTACTATGTATAATTCCAGAAGCATGTTTTTTGTTTCAGTAATGGTAATAATAACTGGAACATGAAATGGGAAAAGTTGAATCACAAATGATGCAGTTATTGGCTAGTTCTTGGCATCAATGTGTACACCATCAACTGTGGTTGAGTATCTCAAGTACCCCTCCCAGTCAAGCCTCTCTTTTTACTAAAAGCTTCATTTTGTCATAATTGTTTTGCATGAACACTTAAATAAGCAAACCAGCTAAATATGTACTTTTCAAGAACAGCTCCATTCAGTTTGCAGCCAAACCATGGGTTACACACATGACCTAACTGCACAGGCATCAACTGATTGATGTAAAAGAATACAGAGACCAGACATTCTTTGATGGAGGAGAAATTATTCATTACTGTTTTAATTGCCAGAAAAGCACCAGTATTTAAAGGCCATACCTTGTGAAATTCCAGGGTATCTCCACCAGACTTGCGAACCTCGACCATGTAAAGAGAAGGGGCCACTTCAAAGATCTGAAAGATAGAGAAATCTTACACCCAGCTCAAACTACTACAGACAAGTTTGTAGCGGAAATCATTTCCTGAAGACATACCTCTGTTGCAACAGATAGACGACCCTTACGCCCATCCTTATCCCCTTGAAGCTTCATCTGCAATTTGAAACAGAAGAGCTGTTTCAGCAGAAACAATAATTTAACAGTTGACTGCCTAATAAGATCAAAGTTCTGAAGACATCCTCTTTTCTCAAGCACATAAAATG